TATATATGTAATTACAAACAAATAAAGAAAATAATAAGAGCAGATCATGACTCTTATGCGTTGGTCCCTTAAGGCTTGCTAAGCTGAAATGACAATATTGTCTTTTTTACGCATGTTTTTTCGTCTTCTGTTTTTCGTAAATGTACATTCTAGTAGAAAAAGACCTTGCCACAAAAAAAAGGAAAAAAATAATACACAACCTGGAAAATCTATGGCTTAGTAAATCTCCGTTTGCTATATTTAAATGAATGTACCTCATTGTTGATTATCCTACAAAGAAGAAAACGCTTGAAAGGTTGATTTTACGCTGCTGCGCTGTCAACGGCGCAAAACACATGAAAAGAACGAAAATCAGAAATCCAAGAGTTTACATTTATAGGGCAACATCAGTAATGCTTAAAAGTCTTTGTGTCTTTTTTTTTTTTTTTTGTTTCCAAAGCCGCCGTGAGCGTTTGTGGCATCGTTTTTCCAACTAAACACACTTTGAGGTGCTGGAGCTCAGTTTCCAGACTCAGTCCACTGGGAGGAGAAGCTGTACGATGAGTTGTTGCTGAGGTGGCTGGGTGCTCAGGTGGTGAGGGGGGAAGGGTTTGACAAAATGGCACCAGAGAGTCGGCTGGGTTGTGGGTGCTGTGTAGGCGGTGTGTGTCCCTCCTTGCTTCCCGTCCTTACTTCTTGGGTGTGCATAGTACGAGCTTGCTGTATGCTCGGCATGGCTCCCGCAGGCCTCCTCTTGACACACACGCGCACAGAGCTGCATACACGTGAGAGCAAACACTCCACAGCAGCCGACATGAGAGGAGTTGGGTTGTTAAAGCACTGGCACTTTCCGGTAACAGCTGGCTTGGAAGGCATGGTGGCAGCTGATTGTTGTTGGTGTTGTAGTTCTTGCTGTTTGTGGTTTAGCAGAGCAGAGTATAGAAAATAGACACATTTATCTACTGTATATTGCATATGTTGCAGCATGTTCGCCAAAAATGAATGAGGTCATCATGTCCAGTTTAGTCTTGCAAAAAAGATCCCCTGCCACCAGAAAGAAAATTTAAAAAACACAATAAATTAAACTGACCTGTCCGCCTCCCCGACCGTACGGAGGGAGACGGGGACACACAACAGTAACAAATGAAAAAAAAAAAAACAAAAAAAAAAACAGGTGCAAAATTGTTGCAGAGATGAGAGGTTCTGCTCACAACTTGACTAGACGAAGAACAGATGAAGCCGTTGTTTGTCTGGACCCCACAGGGCGGCTTACAGACTGTCCCATGACCCCCAGGTCCAAGCTTCAGTTCCCAATGCTACTGTAACACAACTCCAGAGTAGGACTGCAAACAGCTTCACATCAGTTTTCTTTGTCGAATCTCTGAAATACTTTTGATGATGGCCGAGTCACTGTCAGCTCGGAGATTAAGAGGATTCTGACAGCCGGTAAATGTCAGAGCTTTTTTCTGCTGTTCCCTTCTCTAGCAGTAGACCAGTGGCCAAGATAAACAATTGCTTCAGGTGAATCTGCGAGAAAAATCTCTCCACTGTTCTGTGTATTTCAAAAGCATGTTGAACCAAATGTGCAGCGCACATTAGCAAAATGGAAAATGTACTTCCCAAGAAAAACGCCTGCTTGTCAAAGACATGACAAACAGGTTAACTGGTATGGAAATGTTCTACATGTTGATATTAAACTGCATGTGAGTACACCCCTCACTGTAAGTGAGTGTGGGGCGGTGCACATAGTTACATTCAATAAACTATGTACTGACAGATCACATGGCTTGGATCAATCCAAAAGTTCCATTTGGATTTTTTAAACACATTTTAGTGACTCCAATGGTCGGAGATTTTCCATGATTCAAATCATTATTTAGAGATGTAAATGAGCAACTTGCAGCCCTACTGAAGAGTAGCTTAACACTCTGAAGACAAGAATGAAATGCTAATATACAAATGAGCGGGTGATGGTGAAGATGATCCGGCAGCTCAGAGGCCTCCCAGGTGATTCCCAGCTGCCTGGCTGGCCTTATCTCTACCTGAGGGGTCTGAGCTCTTATTGGTTGCTGATGTAATGAGTGGTGGAGGCGGGAGTTGAGATGGACACCAATCGCCCCGATGGGTCTTTCAGAGACTTCATGTGTTGAATGTAGTAAAGGAAGATGGAGGATAATGAGGGGAGGCTTCCTTTAATGCCTCTGTTATCCCCTTCAGGCACAACCATCCCTCATTAGATCCATCCAGCCATTCATGTGTGTGTGGCAGCCCAGTGAGACACACACATACACACACGGTTCCTCAGTTTCATGTGCAGGACTCAGCAGTTTGTTGATGAATGAAATGGGATGAGAAAATAAAAAGAGCACAAGGGGGGGGGGAAGTCTTCGCTTCCCTTCAACCCAAAGGGGAGGAACAGTCGATGAATAATAATGAAGATAGTAATGCTGTAATGCTAACGATATGGATGCCAGTCAGAGGTGTGTGTGCATGTGTGTGTGTGTGTGTGTGTTTGGTAGCTGTGTCTACATCTTGATTCCTTCCTGTTGGCTGAGCTGAGACAGGGTTTTCTTGATTCGGAGAGCGGTGAGTCGGGCGGCACTGTTGGCATACCAACACTCCCTCATTATCTTCGCCATCACCCGCAAGGCCTGCAGAGGAGAGAGAAGACACGAGTTCATATGACTTAATTACAACATGCTGTTGGCTCAGTCTGATGTCATGGGGAATACACTTCTCTGTTGCTGTATGTAACAACAAGACTGTGGCTGTGGACTTGTTTAATGTGGATTTAAAACTTTTTATTTCTGTATTTGAGCAAAGCTTGACTAAACCTGGAGTCAGGAGGTAGAGCAGGTAGTCCACTAATCGGTAGTGATGGCCAAATGAAGCCTCATGAAGCATCTTCTTTATTTCATGAGTCCACTAGATGGCGCTTTTTGTTCAACAAAGTATTGAAAGCACACTGAATTGCCATTCTTTGAGCCTCTCTCCTTAAACCATGAGCGCCATCTAGTGGGCTCAGAAAATAAAGACAATGCTTCATGAGGCTTCATTTGGCCATCACTACTAATCGGACTGTCTATGGATTGATCCCCGGCTCCTCCAGTCTGCATGTCGAAGTATCCTTGGTCAAGATACTGAACCCCAAATTGCTCCAGAAACAAATGATCTGTGGGGTTCCCCAAGGCTCAATTCTTGGACCCATGTTATTTGAAATCTACATGCTTCCTTAAAGGTACAGTACATTTCAGTTTCCTGTCTTTCATTGTGGTGACTGTGGCTCAGGAGGTAGACAGCATTGTCCACTAAACATCTTCATCTTGCATCCTCATCTTCATCATATTTCATCTTGAAGTATACCTGGGCAAGACACTAATCCCCAAATTTCTCCTGATGGCTGTTCCATCATTGTATGAGTGCGTGTGAATTGTTACCGAGTAGCGCCATGTATGGTAGCCTCAGCCACCAGTGTGTGAACGAGTGAATTATGACTTTGAGTGGTCGGAAGATGCGAAAAGCGCGTCACAAGTGCAGTCCATTTACAATTGCCTCTACTGGTACTTCCTGTTTGCACTGTCCCTTTGCTGCTGAGAGGTTGCAAATTTCACTCTGGGATTACCTTATCCTATCTTATCTTTTAGTGTCCTAACATTTATGAGATTCCGCTTTGCGCATTTGTAATTAAGCTAATCGTCTGTCCTGGTTTCGCTGAACTGGATTTGCGTGTTTATTGGATCCTCATTAGCTGTCACCAGAACAGCAGCTGCTTTTCCTAGGTCCCACAGAATTAAACAATCCTCTAATTACTATCTTGGCTCCATCTTCCATCCGGGAATTGGTTATTCTGTGTATAGCTACATAGATAAAACTCTGGCGCAACAGTTGTGTTGTGCGTGGCCCCTGTTAAATAAAATAATAGACTGAATAAGCTTTTAGACCACTGTGTAGACAAGGTTAATATCTGCTGATGGGAAGTGTTTCTTTATGTCCCAGTATTTACTATGTGTTGTCCACAAATAACTCTCATGTAAAAGAGGAGAGTGTTAAGAAAAAATAGTGAGTGCTGCACTGTGTAGTAAATTGTTAAAAAACAAAAATCAGGTGCTCTTCATGGATAGGGCAAATAGTCACAAAAAACAAAACAAAAAACAACTTGGTTTATCTGTCAAGAACGGATTTTTAACTCCAGTCAGTGCCTTGGATGCACTTTTGGACTGCCTGCATGTACCATGGACTTTTAGAAAATAAAAAGGTTGTGGGATCCTCTTGGTGTTCACTTGGTCTGGAAATTTAGTAGCGTTTAGTTTGGCCTGTACCGTCAGCATTAAAACCAGGACATTTGTGGTGAGATGCAACTTACCTTTGACATACTTTTGCTGATTTGTCTCTTGCTTTTCCATTAAATTGTAAATGGCTTAATATTTTGGAACAATAGACCAGTTTTGTTTTAACTGTAAGCTTCAAATTCAGTCTCATAATTGTTTCGATTGTCTTTCGGAGGTTTTAATAAATTGCTGTTTTAAATGAAGAGTACTAGAATCTTGTGGCTCAAGATACAAGATCTCTGATATAAGAGACTAAATACTTCCAAGGTATGAAATTGTTGAAGATAAAATCATTTCATCAGTTATTTATCAGCTGTTGTTTCCTGACACCTCTACCTGCTTCCAAACGTGGTCCAAACAGCCAAATATGCATCTGTCTTTTTCTAGTTATTCTTACTGCATCACTGCATGGTTTGATTTTGTATGTTCTGGAAAATGAATCCGACCGACAATCCGAGTCTTTTCTAATGCTTCACTTAGGTGGTGACTTACAACTAAATTTGCAAATAAGCTTTGAAATAGTGTTGGAGCCTCCAGAGTTTACACTAATTCCTCCACGTCTCCCTTGGCGGGGCTGTAAACAGCATCTGGTATGTATGAGTCAACATGTCTCTGTGTGTGTGTCTCCGCCTCAGTCTCTCACAGCGTCTGTCTGCTGAGATGCTGGTGCTCCCTCTACGGAACTTCCTACAGAGCTCATTAAGACAGCCAACACATTCCAGTCCTCCATTCATCAGGTGGATTAGTGCCAACTTTACACTGCAATCTGCCACACACACACACACACACACACACACACACACTTCACATTACCACTGTCTCCTTCAGCCGAGCTAGCTGGAGCTCATTTCTTATGTCAAGGCTTTCAGATTCCAGTGCTTTCAGATGTGGCTTTATTTACTTTAACCTGCCATTCTGATTTACAGGCTAGTTGGTGGAATGGTGTGCCAGCTGACAAACAATCCCTTCTGGGACTACCACGCCTCGAACAGCAACCCAGACTAACACCTCTACAAGACTTGACTCTAAATGATGGGTTCCTGCACCAGGGCGCCTGTCAAGAATCCTCAAATACGCTCCACTTTTGACCCCATGGAGTCTCATTTGATTGTATTAAGACCCAATCCAATTTCTTATTTTTACCCCTACCGCTAATTTCCAAGTGCTCCTTTGCCCCTTGAAACAGCTCTATAAGCGGAAGTGGTTGAAATCTTCCCTATGAAATGGGACAACCGGTCAAGACCCTGATATGTCATCAGTAGTTGTCAATGGCGTATACGTAACAGACACGATGGTGGTAACAATGGTGCCATCACAATGACATCTGACCTTTATCTGATGGTGACATAAACTGTAATTCGTTCACAATTTAAGTTTCTCGATATAAATTGATCAACCTTGTCATCAAATAAAAAGAACACCACTTCATTAGCAAGTCAGTGGCAAACATTAGCAACTCACACAACTGATGATACTAGAGGAACAGTAACAAGTGCAGCAACTTCGCTTCTGGACTTAAGTTAAATTTTGGGCGTCATATGCCATCAGAGGTGGGAATGCAATATGGAAATATGTCAAAATGGGGGACTGTCAGACAGAAATCAGCAATTACAATGTAACGTTAGTGAGCTAGCTAGTTAGCTACCAAGATATCAGCTTCCTAATAGTGTTTCTATTTGTTACACGTTATAAAGAAAAGGACCATGATTACGGTTGCAGCGATATATAAATTTCAAGGTATACCGTGATATAAAAATTGACGGTTATCATACCATGTACATTTGCTTATGTACGATATATTTTTTTTAAAAAAAAGCAACTTCACAAAGAATCTCCCCTTTATTTTAGTTATTTTCAAAGGTCAGACTTCTTACACAAACTTCCATCAACAAAATAGTTTCAAGTTTCAATTATAGTGATAAAACGTTTGTTCAAGCATCAATACCCGCTCTGTTCTCATTCGTTTAAGGATCAATCTGACTGATGATAATATACATTCTTAAATACCGTGATACCGCAAAATCGCAATATTTTCTGAGACGGTTGTTCGGTGAAAATCTCACAATGTTGCGACACAAACCATGATACACTAAACTACATTAAACCAAGATAAGCTGTAAACCTCCACACACCAGCCAACTTTAAGGTACGGTTACATCCATGTCTGAGAAAACATGGATGCTTCACACACAGATCTGTGCAATCAGCTGCGTTTCAAGGTGGACACCCAAGATTAGTGTCACCAATTTAACATCTGACCAAATGTCTCCTCTTCTGTTCCTGAGATATGATGTTAAGTGATAGTCAGAAAAATGTTTTTGCAGATCATCATGATGTTACAGTGGAGCTGACCTTTGACCTTTTGGATAGGAAATTTATTCACTTCATAACTTTATTCTATTAGACATTTCTTTGTCATAATTAGTGTATGAATTCTTGAGTTTTTTTCCGCTAAACCAGCTTTGTGAGGTCACAGTGACCTTGACCTTTTACCGCCAAATTCTAATGAGTTCATTGCTTTATCCAAGTGGACGATTGTGCCAAATTTGAGGAATTTCCTTCGCAGCATTCATGAAATATCCAGAATGAGACAGATGCAAGGTCACAGTGACCTTGACCTTTGGCCACCAAATTCTAAAGAGTTCATCACTGATTCCAAGTGGATGTACAGAATATAAAGAAATCCCTCACGGTATTCTAAAATAAAGCATTCAGAAGAATGAGACAGATGAGGTCACAGTGACCTTGATCTTTGACCTACAACCACCAAAATTGTAACACTTCATTACTGAGTTCAAATGGACAGTTGTGCCGAATTTGAAAAAAATTCCCTCAAGGCTTTTTTGAGATACTACATTTACTATAATAGGACGGACAAACCTACGGAGGTACGGACGACCCTAAAACATAATGCCTCAGGCCACGGCGCGGAGGTATAAATATAAATTTCTTGTGGGTTTCTTTTATTGCTTGTGCAGCCATCTTATGAATGATTTCTCAAAAAGCTCAGTTTGGAGGTCACCGCCCCGTTAAGAGGGTCATGTAGCCCTAACACCATGGAGGGGTAGGGGCTAAGTGTCAGGGGCAAGGGGTGTATTATAATGAAGCCATAGTCACAAGGACCCATAAAGGAACATTTCAGTTGTTGCTGTTGATTTGTAAAAGTGGCTGCACAGTATAAGAATAGAAAATAGAGAGAGTGAAACATACAATTAATCAGGAACAGCAGATGAGCATCTGTGTTTATGCTTTAGTGTGTACAGTTTAATTTGACTCCTACATAGTTGAGGAAAACTAAACATTAGAAAAACATCAACAACACC